AATTCTTGGTGAGGCAATGACTGAAAGTTGCCACTGCCGCTTCCTAGCTTCTGATTGCTGGTCAGATTCATAGTAATAGGAGAGAAATTAAGAGGGATTCATTTCTTGTCAATAATTAGAATTTGATGGCAATTAAACAAGAAGAAGAACAATTTACATTCATAGAGCACCTTTCATGTTGGGAGGAAATGTCAAGGCATTGCTGACTAGCAGCTCATGCTGTGGATGGAGGGCACTCTGGAGGATGGGAAGTGGAAAGGTGTCCAAAAGCATGGTTCCAAAAAGATACCTCTTAAGGTCCCATTTAAAGGTGAGGAGGAAGGAAACTGCTCCGGGACCCTACATCGCGTGAAAGGTGCTATATAAATGCAAGTTGTTGTTGTTGTTCAGGAAGGAAATGGAGGAACACCAGGAGGGAGTTTCAGAGAGCGGGGGGCAAAATGCCTGAAGCTTGCCACCAATAGTGGAAAGGATCAAGCAGGGGATACAAAGCACGCCAGATAAAGTTTAAAATTGCATTAAAAATGCATCGGTCCAAAGCTGTAATAATCACAGGCTTCCTTTTGCAAGTGATTTTGAACCAATGCCAAACTGCGCAGTGAAGCTTGTTGGACAAAGTTACAGAGCACATCTTGAGTTAGTGTTGCATGAAAGGGAGTACCACACTGCCACAAGGCATGAATGCAGCATAACCAGGGCATCAGTTGGAGCTTGTACGTGCACTTTTGTCGTATCAACTCATGTTGAGACCACAGTGTTAGACGATAGGACTAAATTAGGGCAATCAACTAAAAGGGACTCAGTGATTTGTGTCAATAAAATTGTGCCTAAAGTTGTAACTGAGTTAGACTCTGTACAATTTTATATAATGTAATGTAGTTATAGAGCATCAACAGATCTTTTTATTCCCATTAATATCAATACTGACAGTTCACATACCAACCAAAAAAGTATGGCCAATCCACATATGTCACTAAGAGCTGCCACATCCAGGATATCTAAGAGAAAATGTAGCGGCAAGTAGGAATGCTGATAATCTGCCCCAAGATCCAGGAGGAGCTGCAAATGCTGGTCACTTTCTGAATAACATTTTATTATTTAGCTTAATTTTTTTTTAAACGATAGAGAAAGTAGAATTTTTATTCATTTTGGTGTATAACTGGATATATTTAATGCCTTAGGAAAATGTAATATTGTAAATAAAAGTATTTCATTCTTCACTTGTTCATGACATTCTCATACCCACTCTGCCTTTTTGCATTCATAAAATTACTGTTCTGAATTTCTTATTTTATTCCTTGTTTCAAAATACTTACAAATTACTGCACTTTTAGTTTTAATGCCTTTCATGTTGGGAGGACATTTCATGTTACCTCACAGGATAATAATACTACTACTACTACTAATAATAATAATAATCCTTCCATTTGATAGAGCACCTTATCATGTCTTCAAGACGTCTCAAATATACAGAATATACTGTAAAGTGCGGTGACTATATTTTGTAGGCAAACAAGCAATCAGTTTTCATCCAGCTCTGTCCCACAAAGAGCCATGAAGTGAATGATCAATGTAACCTGACCACTTGTCTGTAACTATTGTAATTAAATGAGTAAATAATAGTCAGCATCATTATCAAGAACCTCTGTCTTTGGGCTGGTAGTTTTCTCTCCATCTTTGTGATACCTTGACTGGCCTTGAGAGAGGATTGTGCGGTCATCAGTCTTACTCCTTCAAGTGACCCATCTCTCTTGTTTATGCTCCTTTGTTTGCTTCAACAAAACAACATGTTGATTGAGATTGAGTTAAAAATAATTTGCATATTTGTAGTACTTTATTGTGTAACTACTATAAAACGTAGTGACTATTTTGTAGCCATTCTGTACATAGCAAGGTCCCACAAACAACCATGCAGTCATTGATTTGTTTATTCGGAGGACTGTTGACCAGCATATCAGGAGAAACTTCTATGCCTTTTTTGAATAGTGGAAGTTGAATAGTGGAAGTTGAATAGTGGAAATAGTGAAAGGTGAGAGTGCTACCACCTGAGCTATACTGCCACTTTATGACTCACCTTGATTTATGGCACACCAGGAGACCCCATCTCAATAATTGTATCGTTACTGAGAGCAAACAATTTTGTGAGAAAGCCCAGTATTATCAGTTCAAACTAACCCAGAAATTACAGTTCGCATCTGATATTAACAGATTCTGGGCAGGGCGAAACCTTGGGCAAGGTTCCTTATTCTACACGCCTGATAATAATCCCTCAAGAAAAAAATAAAAGTAATAAAAATAAAGTAATAATCCCTGAAAATAAAATTAGTTATTCCATCCACAACTGTTTGTGGGACACTGCTGTGTGCAATTGTCTGCTGCGTTTCGCCCACAAATACACAGTCAATTCACTTTACAGTACATTCTGTGAAGCACTTTGAGACGTCTAGAAAACGTGAAAAGCGCTATATCACAAGCAAAGTTTATTATTATTATTGTCCTTCACATTTTAATTTGAATTACCTTTAAACAAAGTATACAATAAAATGCTGTGCGATATGATTCAACACTGGCCCGTAGTAACTTAACTCACCCTTTGTTGTGACGCCTGTGACTTTCTGATTTATGAACCATATCTCATTTCATTGTGTGCCCTCTGTTTAAAAACTACCTGCAAGCAGAAGGGTCACAGTGATGGATAAGTCAATGTTATTCCAGACAACCAATTTGAAACACTTCTATTTGTTCGCTAATGGTTTTAAACAACCCAGCGGATGATTATCTGCTGGAAGGGAAGAGCTGTAGATGTAACTGCAGGGAAGAATTGCTTTGAGCATTTGCTATCATCCGGCACTTTACAGGAGGTCACAATTTTGAATGTTTTTGAGGTGTGGCTGAGTCCTGGGTGTGCTGTGTGGGTTTATTAAATAGGTCTTCGTAGAAAACCATAGCACAGTGACGGATGCCTCAATCACATTACAGGCACTGTTAGAGGTATCCAGCAGACTGAAGATGTTATGCCAACTCGGCTCTGCTCTTGCCCTGGGCTAACTGCAAGTAAAGAAAAGGTCTGCGCGCACACATGCAGTACACATATGCACAATTCCACTGAACGGGTGTCCGAATTGTATTTTTTATTAGTGAAGAGTTCAGCAATTTTCAATTAATGTGAAAAACCTTAAGTGCGTTCAATTGTGTTCCTTGAGAAATCTGCAAACTTGATTTTTGCTCAATTCATTTTGTCCCAGTTTATACCATAGCCAGTGCAAAGCTCCAATGAATTGGCGAGGTGGACCAATATTTTTCTAATCCTCTAGTCGATTCTATGTCAATGGTACAGCCAGCCCTGTGATTCCTTGAACTCATCGCTGCGTGAAAGCAATCCGGAACACTCTGTATAAAAGCAAGCCCCACCTCCACCCTGTCCCAATTTGCCATATGGAAGTGATATAACAATATCAGATCACACAGCAACCAAACACAGAACGAGTATTGAATAAAACTAAGATGCATTCTGTAAAAAAATGGATCCGTTAAACTTATTGTCTGAGGAAACTACACAGTTGATCTTTTCTGTAAAACACTGGACCAAAATGTTGAACCACACCTGTAACCTCCACCACAGATCAAAGTTGTAACTAATCCTTAGATTAAAGAAGAACACTCCACCCCTTCTCAATGGTGTACTTGTGAGTGGTATGTCTTTTACTAATGTGGATTATTTAGATTTTAAATTCGCAAAGCACAAAGATGAAATAAATGTATCACTATAGTATCTGACGTATCTATATTATAATAATCCCTGTACTATTGCAGGGCAGCAAGAACTAAAAGGATGGTTTATTAAATGTAACACCATTTGATCAAATAAAAGGATAAAATGTAATACAAGGAACGCGTTAGGAAACGCCGCCAAACTTACCCCAAATATAAATTTATCTTTGAATATTAGTGCAATAATTCAACATTTTTAATCCGCTTAATTTGTGGATTACAGAGCGAAGGCTTGTTTTACAGTTTTATGAGAAAGATTATTTTTTATATATTTTTTAATAATCCCCTCCCACCCCACCCCCCACTCACGAGAATGTGTTATTTTCGAAGAAAATCGCCAATTATTCTTATGACATTTTAATAACTACACCAGAAAAGTTAGAATAAACGCTGCCATAATCATACAGCTTTTAAAAAAAATTATCATAACCGGAATCCTTTAGGAAACCAAATAAGAATGAGGCAAAGTAAAATCGTGAAAAGTTTAAGTACGTTTATTCGAAAATTCTCGCACAATGCTTTGGAACAAAAAAGCAAATAACAAGTGCACTGTACATCATTCAATGTAAAAACATAAAATACACAACAATAGTGTTTTGCTACTTCACAGAGAAAATTATATTTTCTTTAAAATTATATATAGCATTATCACGTGCTTTCAGATTCATGCTCTTATTATGTTCTCAGAAAACGTATTTACAGAATGACGTCCCAAACAATCGTGGATGTCCGATTTTAAATAGTTTAACTACTGATCTATCAACAAAATTGCTCTTGCCTTATGCTTTGCGTCGCCTCATAGTGCTTTAATGCTTGTCTTTTAAAAGACGCGAGTTCATACACACACACACACAAATGAACCATTGCTCCCAATACTAATTTTCAAGTCACTCTCAGCTTTCGGTTTTCTTAATAAACTAGTTTGACCTTAACATATGTTTCTAAATTGCCAACCTTTCCCCTCTTAGCACCTATCCAACCTACCGATCATCTGATTCCCAGATGAGGTAAGTAGTACTAAATGGAAATATGTCGATTTGATTAATACGGATACTTATGCCATTAAATCGGCAGGTAAATACTCAAGAGGATTATATGTAGATGATTTGATAATGTGTTTTATTCAACTTCAATCTTCTTTTAAAAATATGGATATTTTTGAATACGTTTTGTAATCACATAATACAGTATCACAACTGAAGTCATATGGTACTTATATACTGGCCAAATCTATGGATATTGTGGATCTTTAATAAATACCCTTGCGTTAACAGTAACCGAAAGGCACTATTCCTATCATTGTATGTACAAAATAAACAGTCAGAGATATCTTTAGACATTTTCAAGCAGAATTTGATTTTTTTTCTTTTTGTTTGGCAATTTAGTATGTACTCGCGTCAGTCCTTTGTTATATATCTACTGGTCGTTGTTCTTCGCCGAATCTTGATCGCTCTGATCATCTGTGAAACAAACATCTACGTCGCTCTCATTGCTGTTGTCAGTCTTCTGTTCAGCGTCGTCCAAAGACGTTTCAGTTTTATTCTCTGTTTTGTGCAGAGTTTGCCCTGGGTGTCTCGATTTAACGTGCCTCTCGAGATCTCTACGACGCACAAGCACCTTGCCACAGAACTCACACCTATAAGGCGTGTTACCCTCCGCATGCAAGCGGATATGTTTGTTTAAGTTGCTGGGGTCGCCAAAGGGTCGAAGGCAGACTTTGCATTTTAAAGGTTTGTAGCCTGTATGTGTCCTCATGTGGATTTTCAGTCCGTATTTACGGGAGTAGAGTTTTCCACAGTACAAGCAGAGGTGGCCCTTTTTGGGTTTCCCACTGGATGTGGTGGTGGTGGGTATGGACTCCAGTCTAGCTCTGCTCTTTTCTGCAGCAATGCTAGACAGTTGTTGGGTGTGCATGGCGATTTCTCTGTCAATGTTGGTGATGGAGCCAAGTTCTGAGTTGAGTGCTGGAGCTCCAAAATAGGTTACAGACTCTGGATATTTGATCAAATTGCTGAAGTGAAATTTTAAGGGGTAATAGGGAGGGCTGTAGAGAAGTTCCCCATTGTAGACCGTTAAGGGCATTAAGGGGATGTTGCATTCTCCAGAGTAAGGTTTTACTCCTTCAAATGACGGGATGGAAAACCTCTCAAAATGAACGCCTGTTGGAATTGGAGTATAACGGTTAGGAGATAAATTAGTGTGAAGGCCCCTTTCGACATGCTTGAATGCAGATGTCTCTTCAAAGTGAGGAAATAAAGGGAAACTCCTCAATGTGTTGCTGCATGGTAGCACAGGGGACGGGGGCTCTATGGAGTGGACACACTTGGAAGAGTGATTTGCGACCATAGTCTCGCTGGAAGAACGTGGCGATTTCATGTTGCTCAATAGTTTATTAAACCCCAATCCGTTTATTTTAATAGTGCTGTCTTCTCTTGGATCAGAAGATATTAACTTTGATAATCCGGTAGGTTTAAAGGCAGATCTAATACCAGGATGGAAGCCCATAGCATTGACTATTGAAGAAGTCCCACTTATAGTTGCAAGAGGTCCATGGTTTCTGGCTGAGTTAACACTCATGTCCAATGCTCTGTCCTGTTCATCCTCGAGTCCCATTCTTTTCTTGATCACAGGCATTTTGGTGGAGACTGGCGAAGTTGCTCGCTTAACCCCATCGATAGAGCCGGACGAGATCTGATGGCCATTCCTCAGAGGTGTTGATACACTAGCTATGTCGGCTGATTTAGGAGAGCGGGTGTAAGTTTCCGAGATTCTGGATTGATGGTTATTGATGAATCCCCTGCCGTTGCTCAAAGCACAGTGAAAATGGATATGAGCTTTCAAAGTGTTAGGATATTTGAATGTTCTCCAGCAGTACCAACAAATGTAACGCTCCTCTCCTGAAAAAAAAAGGTAAAGAAGAGAAAGGTAAGTTTGGGTGATGTGGTCATAAATATTTTCCATGGATATTACAAATAAAAAATATCACTGGAAAATACATGGCTACAATAAGAAATAGAACAAAGTATTCAAATCGCCTCATTAACTCTAATAAAAGTACTCTAAGTCAACTGAATGCCACAACACAAAGACAATAAAATATATGATAGGATTTCTAGTTATCAATAACATTTCATCAGTCAGGGCTGAAAAATGCATGGGTTGTAATTAGCTCAAACTTCAAACTATCATGTATCAAATCCTTGGTATTTAGTCTTTAAGAGATTATCTTATTTAGAACAAGTGCTTACCCCCTCATCCATTACTATGACCCACATTCTTTCATTATCTGCTTAAATGTCAATAAATGTACCAAGAAGTCAATGAGGCAATTCATTTGGTGAGATGATTCTGAAGTAATTCTCAGATCTATTATTTGATTATTCTATCTAACCAGGAAATGCAAGCCTGATCAGGCATGTACAATCCAGACAGTTATAATGTTTTGGCCTTTGCTAGCCTTGGAGGTGATAACAGCTGTTCCTTGAAATCATGGGGCGCTTGAAACAATGCAGTTGGTCCATCTGTTGATGTTAAAGAAAGGAGGCGTATGGCAAGGAACTGAGCAAACTGCCCAAAGAACAATCTATACATCATGAGCTTCTCATTAAAATCAGAACAATACACATATGAGCTTTGCTATTCACCCGCAACAATTCCTTAAGGTGTACTCATTTGTAAACCTTGCAAACAAAGAATGACATCAAGATGTTCACTTTACAATCTAAACACCATTTTGCATTTTTTTTAAATCCAATTTTCTTCCCTTCTTGCTGAGTTTTCTTTCTCTCCTCTTTATTTTTATCACACCCGTTTTGCCCTCTTTATTTCCTTCGGTGCACTCTTTACAGACGTGGTCTCCCAACACGATTCTCTGTCTATTAACGGGATCATATTTTTTCTTGCGGTCTGCAATATTCACTATGAGATACGTTTTCCAATTAGAATTATAGAATCATACAACGTTTACAGCATAGAAGGGGGGCATTCAGGTAAACATGCAAAGTAGGAAGGGCAATATTATACAATAATAAAAATGTAATTGACTGTTTCAAAGCGTACATGTTCGAATTGCATTTTATATTATCCGTGTGCTATTGGAATAATTCACTGAAACAAATAGTTTTAAAAATGCGACTGGGGATTTGAAACGTCAAAATGTACTGCACTGCTGGAATCCAAGTTAATATTTATGTGAAAAGAGGTTAAGGAACACGTTCTCTCCTCCACTCCATGAATTAGAAAAGGATTGGGTTTCAAGGATTTAAAGTAACCAGAAACTTGTAAAGTGGAAATCATAACCTTTTACCTGTTGAAATGCATTTTAGGTTCCAACTGAGTTTCTCGTGGATTAACTGTACAAGATTATCACACACTAATGTAGGTGTTTGTCCAGCACCTTGGGACGTCCCCCCGACGTGAAAGGTGCTATACAAATATAATTTGTTGTTGTTGTTGGGTGTTTCTGGATACTTAAAAATACATAGAAGCAAATTGACTCCATTCTGTTTTTTTCAATCTACACATTTGGAAAGTGAAAGCGAGCCAATATTGTCAGGTATCGGGGTATTCAAATGGAATAAAAACTTCTGGTACAATCATACGACCCAAAGGTGCACAATCCCTGATCCAATGATCTATGTGACAATTTCAGGTAAATTTCCTGAATTCCAACTCAAATAGTGATACGGGTTTGATGCTCTGGCACTCATTGCATGGATCACCCTCACAAAATGAAGTCAATTTAAAAGAAAATGATGGAGGACACCACGATAGATAATCAGGTGATATTTTTATATGGTTTGAGATAGTTTTTAACAAAAGTAAGTGTAAGACTCGTGGGAATTGTATTACTTAACTTATGCAGTTATCCAGTTATTTATAAATGGTAAAACCTTGTCGCCAATCGACCTGGTTTCGTCTGTGTTGCAGCATCTTGATAAAACTTCATTGCAATGTAATTCTACAACGTAGTTGACGGTCGCCACAACACCTTGAGCTGTTTGCAATCACATACTTTGCAGTTTATACCCACAAAAGCAACAAGAAGCTCAACAGTAGCTCCTGCTCTCTCTTCTGTGTAATATTATTCAGGCTCTCTCATGCGCAGCCTATCCAGCCTGGGTTATAGTAGGTGGTCTTTGTAGAGCCTTATAGGAAGTCTAAGCCAGAGGATTTGTACACTGTCTGCTGGCTTTTGGGAGTGTCTGCAAACCTTACTTTTAATTGCTAAGGCGGGTTGAGGTGCTGTGTTCGAACCACAGTAATCCTATTACCTGGCTCTACAGCTACAACCTGTCATGCCAATAGATGTCTCAATCTCTACATTATTCCTCCCCTATACTGAAGTTTGGAAACAGCGAGCGGACATCTGTTATCTGAACTCACTTAAGAATAGTTCCTAATATTTAACCCATAGAGGATTAAAATATTGCATTTGAACATGTCAACAAATTTTACCTTTTTTGTATAGATTCCTAAGTCCATTTTCACCACTTCGGTGATAAACCAACATTACAGCATGATTTTATCCTTATGAATTAGTATAAGGTTCACCTCTTGGGAACTATCAGTGCAATTCAGCATTGAAGGATTTAGCCGTAAGGATCATCATGTCGTGATCTCTCATTGACAAAACCCAACCAAACAACACCAAATCACAAAACGTTTTAAGCAAAAATGTTATTTTGTCTGCAAAGGATGACTTTTGTTAAAATACATTGTATCCGTGTGCATACTTTTTTAACTGCCAGTTAAAATATTGAATCTCAGCAGTACCTAATATATAAATAACTCTTAATAAGATTAATAAACAATAAAGGTCTGAAATTCCATCTAGTCTCACTCCATATCACTGATTATTTTATCTTTAAAAAGTTAAGCTTGCTCAAAAGCGTGGAAAATGATAATAATAATCCTTGCATTTAATATAACACCTTATCATGTCGTCGAAGTGTCTCGAAGCGCTTCACAGAATATACTGTAAAATGTAGTGACTGTGTATTTTGTTGACGAAAATGCTTAACTCCAGTCTCAATTTGGAAGCTGCGGTTCGTCATGTCCCAGAAAGGATCTGTTTTCAAATGTAAGTTGAATTTAAGAGCTTTCTACGATTCTGCGAAGTCTTACATTTCAAAACAAAATTGACTTATGGGCTTAGACTATGTGGAATTTCGGGCCACTTGTTCACATTGTTTGGATTTACAATTCCATATGTGAAAGGCGTGTTTCTGGCGTTGATGACAAGAAAGGTCCAATATATATATAGATCTGGGAAGCTTCTGTACAATTGCCCTTCACCCCCACAATAGCAATCTACACTGTTTTGCAGTCTAATAACGTGGACATAAAACCCATAGATTGTCACAATTAGATCTATCATGTGTATTTGCTAATTGTGGGTGAAAACGTTCAAGGGAAAATAAGTGTTTATGTCACACAAGCAGATGCAAATATGTAAATTCTGTGTACATAAAGGTGCGTATATTTGAGTGACATTTAAATATTCAGTTCGAATTTACAGGAAACTAAACTAAATGAATGCTAATGTATGGGTGGTATGGATAAATATGAACAGGTATATATCTCCAAAGAAATGTATGGTTATGAAAAACATTGGCTTGCGGAGATTTCAACCTTTTGCGAATCGCAACAAGGTATGCCTATCTGGATTTTCTTCCAATATGTTTGCATTACTTTTGATCATGCACTTCTACTAATTTTAAGGCTTTAATTCTTCTTAAAAAGACCAAATCGTGGTGTGTACGTAATAATGTAGAAGGTTTGTAAAACGCATTATCCTGAGAAATAGACATTTAATATTAAAACGGTTAACTGTTTGATTGAGTGCTTCAATCCAATTCTAAGCAGAATAAACTGGATGTGTGTTTAAGCAGATCATCAATATAATTCCTCGATTGCACAAGTGAAATCTATAACAGTGTCTAGGCCAAGCGATGTCTACCCATTATTTAACCCTCGGCAGAAACTGATGTCAAGACAAGTGCTGTTTCTGTAAGAACATTTCTGATTCTGCACAAGTCATCCCAATCACACAGAACTCAACGCAATCTGACATCTCGTCCTCGCACTTGCAGAACAATAAAATGCAGTACGTATGTCGTATTGCAATTGTAAATTCACAGCATATCGAGCTCAGTCATTTGTTTCATTTCCATGTGTATAGAGATTCTCAGTACGTGACAGATTGACCGTCTATCTAACAGCACTATTTTTTTTAAAAAATCAATGTTTTGTACTTTTCCTCAACCCACTGCAGTACCTGTTGCAGCATAACGCGTTTAAAAGTATTCCTTTGTTTATGTATTCATTAGGTCAGAAACATTAAGTTGAGTCACTGAGAAACGACAAGTCGCTTTAATAAATAAAACAAGTTTCCATTACTCTGGTGATCCTGTGGTCGTGGCGATTTATTGCCTTGTCTTAGTTGAGATAGAACCACAAAGGAAGATTGCAAACTGAAACGTGGCTTCGTATTTCCACATTAAATCTATAGTTTAGTAAAATTACTCATAGATTCGTGCTCCCACGTTGCATTCTTTTTGATCGGGCACTTCCACTAGTTTTAAGGCTTTAACTGTACTTAAATATAGCAACTCCCACATTGATATTTTATATTAATTATATTGCTTACACATTCAGAATATTGAGGTCACCCGTCTTGTCGGCTCCCCAGTGGTCATCGACGTCCCCTCACCCACACACACACTTCTCCCCCCACCCCCCCACCCCCCTCCCCCACAACAGTTTAGCAAACACTGCCTTCTTTTCACAAATAAAAGTCCGCCTTCTTTAACTTCATCCCATAAACCTATTTCATTTACATGAAGCAAAAGTACTGCAGAACGTTTCCCTCTTGACGTTTCTCGGTGCATCGGAATATAACGTCAGAGGTTTTTTTTAAAATAAAGTAAAAAATTATACGTGTTGGATACAGTTTGAAGGATAGCCACAAGTATGTTAATACATAAATCATGGGTGGTTGTGTGTATGCTCCAGTGCATTATACAGTCACACGTATTCAACATGTGCAATAGGTTGTGTGCGTGCAGTACAGATGGCAGCCTTGAAATTAATCACTGTACAATACCTCCAAACGTGGTTAGGCAAATGCACATATATATTGGTTTAGTGGGGATACTTGGGTTGAATGTCTTTTAAAAAAAAACAAAGAAAAACATTTCAAAGCTGATATTGCATCCTTATCCAGTAAAACTGTACGCACGGTCCGGTCCGTACCTTTCTCATCGTGTGTCGGTGTAGCTGTGGTTGGGATATCAAACCACTGAGCCAGTGAGCTGGAATACCAGGCTGACAGCTCCTCCCCGGGCTGGATGTCTCTCATTGCTCTGTAAAAGATCTGCGTGGAGGAAGCAGAAAATAATATAAAAAATATATACAGCGATTGCATCCCATTTCGTATTTGTTTTCTGACCGATTAAAAAATAAATGAGAAATCTCCAGAAAAAAAAAAAAGGCCTTCTGTATCGTACCTGTCCCCCCGGCAGCTCTGTGATCGCCTCCAGATTCTGTTCTTGGTTATGTCTGGCAGCTCGGACTAACTCTATCCATTCTGGGACAGGGTCACCCGCCTCATCAACCAAGTCCCCTCTGACAAACCGCACCTGAAACAAATCCCCAGCACTACATTTTACAAAAGGAACCCCACTAACAGCGTTTTCTGCAATTGTTTTTTTTCGTTCATCATATCGTTTACTCCATTGTTTCCCATTTTAACTGTAGGCTTCTCGTGCAAATCGAGCAGCGTATGGTCACAGCAACAGAAAAAAAAAGCAATAAAATACGTTAAGATTAAAACAGAAGCAGAACACCGGCGTGCTTTGTGTGTGTTTTGTTCTGTTGGTTGCAATACGAGGTAAAGCAATTGCCAGTAATTTAAACTTGGTTAGTTGTCCAACAACAGGATTACATTTGTATGGTGTCTTTCGCGTCTGGAGGACGTCCCAAGGCGCTGTTGTAAGGTACAAATAGCGTTTGAAATGATTCAATGAGAAAGTCAAGGCAGTTGGTTTAAAGTGAGCGCTAGGTATGTTACCTGAATGAGAATTAACTGGATCGGAAATGGTTAATAATTATGATAACTAAAATTGAACCCCGGAATACGTAGTCCTGCTTAAAGCGAACGAAGTTTAGAAATGTTGGGTTTTACATAAGAGGGGTCGGGGCTCAGATCTCGACCCTGGAAATCGGAAGGTTTGGAAATATTTATATTTTTAGATTTTAATGTCGGGCGATGTCATTTTGTTTTGCAACATTACGGTACTTACAAGAGATAAGTGAAATGGACCAAAATATGTATGCAAATGTAGAATTTAAAGTATGAGTTTTGAAATTGGATTTTTCCCCCCAAAAAACAGCAGTTCACTTTTCACAAATTTTTGAATCAATCTTTACACAAATTTTGAAAATGACGTATCAAAAACATACCTAATGCTTGTTAAATTAACTGACGCCTTAAGAATGGCTTAAAATATCTTCATCTTTATTCACCCCTTTCGCCTCTGTGACACCTGTTCACATTAATAAAGCGCTGCATTTGGACTGAGGGTGTAATTGAATTTCGAGATGCAACCGCACTTATCTCTTTCAAAATCCTATTCCATCGGTTTAGCTGGGGATCTATAAATTATGTTCGATATTTAATATCAAAGTGTGCAAGCAGAGAAACTAACAGAAGCACTGAACAAAATAACCAGATCGATTGCTCTCAGCAAAAGAAACGTCAACAAAATATGAACTATAAACGAGTCCCTTCAGCCATCGAGAATCATTTGAAAAAAGTTAGCCGCAATTAAGCAGAACGGTTCCCGCAACAAGAAGCAAAATCGAAACAGACGAGAAATAAATAATAGGGTCTGTCAGGGCTTTTAAAAAGGGATTTAACGACGTTAAAAAGTTGACCATGACATATGACATAGCATCTGCACCTGTTTAATGAAGCCCATCGTAATACAGTATTACGCGATAAAAATTGTAGTCGAACAAATCCGAATAATGTATTTTCTATGTACACATCATTCTTGGAGGTACAACTATTTATTATCACAATAAATGCTATTGGTGTATTTCACAGGACCGCTGATTGTGTTCACCGATCATTAAATATAGCTTTATCAAACGAGAATGTGTGGAGTATTGACAGCCATTCCTGATTTTCTCGCCAGAAAGGTTCAAATCTATTTAAGTATTATTTTAATCAAGGTATGAGATAAATATCCGTGGGGGGAACTCTCGTGGTACGTTGTATGCTCCAAATCAACCAGTGGTAGGTAAGATAAATAACAAATCACTTACAATAAACAGCTTCGATCTCTGCTATGCATATCGCCAGCAGTAAACATGCATTAATTGAGGTCTAACCGTTCTGTTAATTGTAACCCAAAATTAATCCCCATAGCTGTACACACCAACCGACAATGACACCCACTGAAAGCTTTCTGTCAATAACTAACAAGTTTACACAGAATGGAAAATTGCAGGCAAATGCAATTAACCAATTAACTCGTAAGCAATGGATTAGGGTCCATGCCTTCAGACACCCCGAAGAAAAACCCGTAAAACATATTTCAAAATTGGGGATTTTTTTTCCCCCCGTCACCAAAAAAAATGATCTGAAATATTGTTTGATTTTGGTTTTCAGTGAAAAAAAATCAGACGCTCGTTTGAAATTGCTAACAAGCTGCTTCCAGCAATGATCAAAAGTTGCAATGTCTCAAACTAGCAACGACGAAGCAGATGTAAGATTACATTTTCGAAATGAATATATATATATATTAATATATATTAATGCAACGAAATCCTGTTACCTTTTTCTTGTTGCTCTGTTCCTTGCGATCAGACATGTATTTGCCCAATTTAAAAATGCCTTGCACTGGACCCAGCCGCAGCCCGGCTGGGATGATGCTTTCGGCGGTCACGGTGATCGCCGAGCTCCGGGGGGTTTGCATGGCACCGGGGATGCAGGGGGAAGGAACGAGGAAGAGGGATGGATTGACAGCGGATGAGAGAGATGAGAGAGATAGACACAGAATGATCTCCGCCTGCAAAATGACGCGACGGAGCCTGTGCGCTGCGCTTTTTTTATCCAAAGGGGGGACGTTGCATTGAGCAGAGTGCACAGAGTGGCTCAGTTTGGTGAGAGAGTTTTGGTGTGATCACAGCTGCGAGCCACAGCCAAGAGGGTCAGAGAGACGCACATGGAGACTTTCCCTATCCAACTGAATAATAAAGTGCTCGAAATGGCCAGGAACAATGGCCCAGGCGACCTTCCCATTCCTAAAATCCAATTTGTCAAGGGCGCAAAAAAGGCACTTGTGAATCAAAGGTCTGGCGGGACCATTAATCGTCAGCTTGTGTTATTGTCCAGCAGACAGTTACGATATTTTAAGTGACAAATTCACTGTATAATTTCTCCATAAATTTTGCCTTCTTTTATTGCGACCAACAAAACTTTGGGAAAATAAGTGACTAAAGTTAAGTCTACTTGGCTGATTCCTTTCAGGTTAAATATACTTCAAAGATTTTTCTCTCCCCCTTGTTTTTTTTTATTTTCTCAGAGGAGTGGATCTCAGTTAAACAAAGAGAGCAGGAATGTTTGGAAGACTTGTTAACTTCTATTGATTCGGCGTGTGCCGCATAGAAACGGGGCAGGTACTTGATGGTAAAACACCAGAAAAGTAGCTTAGCATCTCAAGATAACCACCATCTACATTTGTTCAGCTCTTCCGTTAAATATAAGGATGAACGGTCGGTCCATATTGCCGCACGGACGGATCGTTTTAATCTATCGAATTGAATTGCAATTCACCCAATAGAGAAAAAAAAATATTTTTTTTTCCAGCAGATTCGGAACCGTGAAGGGAAGCTCAGGCTGATCTGCAATAAATTGTTCACCTTTTCACATCTTTTCAAAAGCTTTTCTTGTAAAGCGCGACTGCAAAACGTTGCCTTTGACCATATATATATATTTAAGGAAGTGGTTCGAATAGAAAACATCAGAACCTTGTTTTAAATCGCACACCTTTCCTTTAAGACAGAATTTAATTTCCCACGAGGTGGTCAGAATGTATCGTTTTATAATACATTGCATTATTGCGTATCCTTTGAAACAGAGGATGCATTTTAAAGATAAATATGCCACAAATATAATGTCAAATATTCGTGGCAATTCTGGTTGCTTTTTCAAATAAATAAATAAATAAGAGCTCAAAGTCTCCTCTGGGTGCAGAAAGATGCAAAATGGGTTAAACGGTTATCAACGTGAAATAACTCGTTTGAATGTTTAACCTTGCATTAATGTAAATTAAACAGCTTGAACCACATGCCAAATCTATTAAACCTTATGTTATTTTTAAAGCTAATACCCAACAACGATTTTTTAAAAAAATTAAAAAATATCAAAATACGATTTTTGTAATCAAACCTGTAGAATTTCAATGATAAGAATGTGATTGTTTTAATTAAGGGTGATATGGACCGTGTTTGTGTGACTCGTTTTTATTTCTTTAATGACAAGCATTGTAGTTTGGGTGAAAAGACCACTGATATATTTTTAAAAAGCGTATTAAAATGTGACAGTAATTTTACGAGAGTCTGTGATTCAACAGCGATGAAAGGCATTTCCAGAGATGAGTTTAATGTGCTGTACACTTACTCCCATAGCACCCACCACCCCCACCCCCCATCCCCCACCCCACACCCCCACCCCCACCCCCCACCCCCACCCCCAGCCGCAGGAGATCGTTTTAAATGCAGTGTATCTATTAATTAAATATTTGAATGATTTTTTTTGATTTCATGCTATTAGCAAACACATAAATAATTCCCCTTCAATGGTAGCACTGTGTAGTAGAGGAAGCGCTGATAATTTTAAAGATTGATTTTTGTATCTTTCTAAATGCCGCCGCGGGAGACGCTTTTTTATTAGACACTGAGATGTGACAAAACCTGAAACACTGTCTACTCATAGCCACCGAGGACATCGGTGGAGACACCAGAGAGACCCAGCTACAGATCACCCTTTAGTTTACTTGGACACATTATTTCCTGAACATTTTCGGTTTTGGTTGTCATCTCAATATTTAGCTTGCGTTCGTAAATGCAATATTAAAAAGACTTAATATGTAGTATAGATTTCTTCCCATCCTATTAATATCATATACAGTATAGTCAAACGACATAAATAAGTTCACACCGATACTTCCGAGAGAGAAGGGCACATATATCTTTGTCCACTTCTTTTTAAAATAGCATCAAAATACAGTTTTAATTGGGAATTGCATCGAATCACAATTGCAACGTCAATTGCAACGCAAGAGTTTATTTTCTGTTTTTTTTTGACACAATCCTTCATTCTGTCTCGCAATATTGCGGGATAAGGATTTGGCCCCTCTTCTGAATAAGCAGAGCAGAGATTTTTTTTTTAAAAAAATAACAAAGTCTGACCCCCTTTGATCACTCTCGGCTGCTTCTTCTCTCAATAGCCGAAAAAAAGAAACAAGAAGTTAGGGGCAATAAATTTAAGCCATGAACATGTGCCTGTAACCTCTGGCCTGGCGACTTTAGGATGACACCAAGTTAAATTGGACAAGCAGAGGTAGATGGCTTTGGACTGCAAGGTACCCCACTGCTCCATTTGTGGAGCCTTTCCATACTTTATTTAATGATCTCAAAGCGTGAACGACACGCGAACAATTTTATCAATAGGACCATGTAAGAGCTGACTGCGAGGAAAGTTATTTATTAATGTACGCCAATTGTGACTGGTTCCCAGCCACACAAAATAAAAGCCCCTGCTCTGAAATCATTCACACCAGCCCGGCAATTTTTTCCACTCTGGCTGAAGATGCACCATTCCAAGTGAAATAAATTGGCCAGAAAAGAGGGGAGAAACACGTTTTCTTTTATATTTTCTCCTGGAACAAAACTAAAAAAAGCAAGGGTGAAACCAATCTAATGTGCCTATTGGAGCAGGATCCAGAATGAAAGCTGGGGTGTTAAAAGTAAAAGCAGTGTTCGAAGCAAATGGGATGGAAAATTAAATGAAATTAAATAGCTTGAACGACTGTATTGTGTCTTATAAAAGGACACATTAATTACATGGTTTCAGCTTTATTCCAAGACAATGTTGTGGACTGGAGGATAATCAAAACATTCCAGGGCTTTCTGTCACAGACTTTTAACTGGCGGAGGAACGCTGTTTCGCAGCTATCAACGAAAGATGATCAGCTTTGCACGAAAAATCATACTTTGATAAGAGATCTTGCACCAGCTTGAGCTCTTTTGCGCGTGCCGCTGAACTGTCATTGCCATCAAGTAACATTTTTTGGCATAATGTTCTTTTTGATTTAACAGGTTGCCAGATAATCAGCCATGAATGTTGAGGAACAACAGACGTCCAGAACCACAGCAGCCTGGGCCAATGTCCCACCAGGGAGCTCCATTCAACACATCAAAATGCTTCTGGCTAGAGAAGGTTCAACATTACATTCAAACCAGCATGAATGCCTGTATATAGAGCTAACTTAATTATGGGCAAACAGGGGAATAAAGCAAAAGTTCTCGCAAACTCCTATGTTTAGAGGAATTTTTCCGAATCTACTCCTCTAAGACATTGGTCTTATACGTCTGTTTGTTCTTAATCTCTCTCTCTCTCTCTCTATCTATCTCTCGCTTTCTCCTTCTCTCTCCACACATATATAATGTATACGGTTATATATTTTAACAATAATTGGTGGAAAGGCTGTGGTACATATTTATTAAACAGTCCGTATTTCGACACAGACTGTTATTGCTGTGTCTCGTGAATGATATGTTTGAAAGATATTTAGGATCTGTAAAGAATCCGAGAAAGGGCAGCAAATTATAAGGGAAATACGACTCATTGCAGTGTAATCTGAATATATAGGAGGTAAAACATATATTGTTTATATTGGTATCTATTACGCGTTTTGGTCGGGTTCTGTTTTTTAATTTATTTCACACGAGGAAGAATAGCGCAAAAAAAAAGAAACCGAAACACATTTTCGTGAGTGTGAGTGATTTATGTTTTGCCAAAAGAAATGTTATTTGTGGGGACCCACCGTATGTCGTATTTATTATTTTAAACGTTAATTAATATAACGTTCCAGATTTGCTGAAGCGAAAGTAAATGCAGATTTGCATGTGCTCTTTCCAAATAGGTTAAACACATCTAAAGTCCCCTTGAAAAAAAAACTGAGATCGAAAATGTCTTTATACTACGATATCAGTGTGAAAGAAGCCAACTGTTTTCTTAACTGAATTCTCTAACTTTTACTCGTTTTTCGGTTGATGTGATGAATATAAAGGGCTGGAGACTTGTGGCTGAATTGAAATGTTTCGGTGTACCTTATAAATTCATACCTTTTCTCACTCGATCGCATTAGAATGAGTTCCCCACTCAATTCGATTTTCCTTGCTATTGGGCACATTTAGGAGAGACTCTATTTATGAAGTTCATTTCTAGGCAAATGAATTCAGAGCCTGAGCCCTATGAATAGGACCGTGTGTCAGCCGCCCCTAATTGGGATTAAAGCACTCGGGACCATATGCACAGAGTGACAGAAATTCTCAGGTTTCATTGTGTAACACGACAAGATCAGTAACCAGCCAATTTCCAGCAATCCTTCTGAATAACACAGCTCCTCACAGCACAATCTGAAGCTTATTTGTGAGCATACCTAGCTCGTTTCTTTCCTGCTCTATGAAATCTAAAAGTACATTTCTAAAAGACATCCAGTGCATTTTCTTCTGTGTATAGTAACCTTCTTTCTACACATCGAAAAAAGGTACAATAAACTCGATTAATGTAATAATTAACTCGTCTTATTATTAATTATGGCCGTTTCAAAAGATGTTTCATTTCTATAACAAATATGCTGTCAAATTAGTCCAACTGCATAAAACTCCCTCAGTACTGAAATGTATA